AATCCAAGGGGAGGGAGAGGAAGGAAGCTCCTTTCTAGGCTTTACCTCAGGCAATGTTCCCTTGGCTGAACCTCCTCTAAGTAGACAGTCTGTTCATCTCCCAGGACACAAGAATTGAGTATCCTTGAGCCCCCAAATAAGGAGAGCTTATTAAAAATAGAAGACCTGGGGATGCAGAAATGTCTCAGTGGTCAAGAGGACATACAACTAAACTTCCTGTCATAACCTCTCACTCTTCAATATGTGTGTTACACACGTGTGCAGGCACACATACATGCATGTGCAAGTGGATGGGGACCAGAGGTTGATATTTGATGTCTTCCTTGATCACTTTTCTCCTCATATATAGAGGCAGAGTTTCTCACGTGAACCCAAGGCTCCATGGTGAGGCTGGTCTACCTAGCCAAATGCTCCAAAAACCTCCTGTGTCTCCCTCACAAATGCAGGTGCTGGGGTTACAGGTGGGCAGCCTTGCTCACCCTGAACTTACACTGGATTACAGGTGGGCAGTCTTGCTCACTCTGCAGTTATGTAGGGTTACAAGTGGGCAGCTTTGCTCACCCTGAACTTACACTGGGTTAGAGGTGGGCAGCCTTGCTCACTCTGCAGTTATGTAGGGTTACAGGTGGGCAGCTTTGCTCACCCTGAGCTTACACTGGGTTAGAGGTGGGCAGCCTTGCTCACTCTGTACTTATGTGGGGTTACAGGTGGGCAGCCATGCTCACCCTGCACTTACACTGGATTACAGGTGGGCAGCTTTGCTCACCCTAAACTTACACTGGATTACAGGTGGGCAGCTTTGCTCACCCTGAACTTACACTGGGTTACAGGTGGGCAGCTTTGCTCACCCTGAACTTACACTGGGTTACAGGTGGGTAGCCTTGCTCACCCTGAACTTACAGGTGGCAGCCATGCCCACCTTGCTCTTACACTGGGTTACAGGTGGGCAGCCTTGCTCACCCTGCACTTACACTGGGTTACAGATGGGCAGCTTTGCTCACCCTGAACTTACACTGGGTTACAGGTGGGTAGCCTTGCTCGCCCTGAACTTACAGGTGGCAGCCATGCCCACCTTGCTCTTACACTGGGTTACAGGTGGGCAGCCATGCTCACCCTGCTCTTACACTGGGTTACAGGTGGGCAGCCATGCTCACCCTGCACTTAACACTGGGTTACAGGTAGGCAGCCTTGCTCACCCTGCACTTACACTGGGTTACAGATGGGCAGCTTTGCTCACCCTGAACTTACACTGGGTTACAGGTGAGCAGCCTTGCTCACCCTGCACTTACACTGGGTTACAGGTGGGCAGCCTTGCTCACCCTGCACTTACAGGTGGGCAGCCATGCCCACCTTGCTCTTACACTGGGGTACAGGTGGGCAGCTATGCTCGCCCTGCTCTTACACTGCGTTACAGGTGTGCAGCCATGCTCACCCTGCTCTTACCCTGGGTTACAGGTGGACAGCCATGCTCGCCCTGCTCTTACACTGCGTTACAGGTGTGCAGCCATGCTCACCCTGCTCTTACCCTGGGTTACAGGTGGACAGCCATGCTCGCCCTGCTCTTACACTGCGTTACAGGTGTGCAGCCATGCTCACCCTGCTCTTACCCTGGGTTACAGGTGGACAGCCATGCTCGCCCTGCTCTTACACTGCGTTACAGGTGTGCAGCCATGCTCACCCTGCTCTTACCCTGGGTTACAGGTGGACAGCCATGCTCGCCCTGCTCTTACACTGCGTTACAGGTGTGCAGCCATGCTCACCCTGCTCTTACCCTGGGTTACAGGTGGACAGCCATGCTCGCCCTGCTCTTACACTGCGTTACAGGTGTGCAGCCATGCTCACCCTGCTCTTACACTGGGTTACAGGTGGGCAGCCATGCTCGCCCTGCTCTTACATGGTGCTAGGGATCTGAAATCTGGTTCTTGCTCTTGTGCAACAAGCACTTTATCCCCTGAGCCACCTCCCTCCCACTCTCACTTTAGAGTCAGGGCCTTACTATGTGCCCCAGAGAGCCTTCAACTCTCTACTTGCCTGCCCCACCTCCAACTGCTGGGACTACAAGCTGTGCCCTCATGCCTGGATATCATCTCTTAATAAACGGTCCAGGTTGGTGGGATCTTTGCTGAGAACTACAATCTAAACTTTGTCTGCCAAAGACTCCTGACCAAGGGGTACACACATACTGTAGGAATCCGTTTTCAGAAAGTTCAAAGTGTGACAAAAGCCTTCTGTGAGTTGAGAGAAGTTTGTGTGTGTGTGTGTGTGTGTGTGTGTGTGTGTGTGTGTGTGCACTTTGTGAGTGCTTGGATCATACATTTAATGATTTGGGTCATTATCTGCATGTGGTTATGCATTAATACAATACATTGTTTTGAGGGAAAAAGTCACTCTCTTCAGAGACTGATTACAGTATTTAACCCTTGTGTGTTGGACCAGAGACTAAAAAAAAACCACAAATGAATGAAAAAGAAAATCTGCTACCCAAAGAGCCTGTTTCCTCATATTAAGTGGTTTTTCACAGTTTTCAAGTCCAGTGCCCTATTTCTTCAGCTATAACATTCAGCTGATTTCAGTTAGGGACTAATCAAGTCTCTCAAAGTCCCTCAACAATATGTGAATGGGGTCAATTTGCCTGTGGACCCACAGGGAAGGGCATAGCAAACCAATGGCCTCCCAGGTCCCACTTAGAGGACAGCAAAGAAGTCAAGGAATGTTCTCCATTACACAACGATGTTGGGGAGGTGTAGGGGGTGGGGGGGGCTTTCCAGGCATCTCACTCCACCGGAGCAGATTAATAAGCACTCTCCTTGGGGCACTGAGAAAATGAGCCAGAGCCTTACAGGTCATTCTTTACAAGCGAAATACACAAAGGGACTTAGCCAGCTCCCCTCCAACAGGAAATCATTTGTCTCTAGAGTATGGAGAAGGAAGGAGAGGAGGGGAGAGAAAGAGCAGTTGGAGGAGGGGGGCAAAGGAGAAGGAGAGGAGGAAGGGAAGGAGAAGGAAGGGGAGGGAGGAGGGGAGGAAGGATGCTGAGTCTGCCACCAGGCCCAGCTCTGGGGAGATGCTGCTCCCCAATCAAAACACAGTTGCACAAACACAGTCCCTGCCTCCTGAGAAAAAGAAAAAACAAAACAAACCATTGGTTTAAATGGGGACTGAACACTCTGATTAATTGTAAAGTTCTTTTTCCACTTTCCTTTTTAGAATGTAGCTAAAAATAAAGGCTTAAAACTTGAAATAAGTAAGCAACACACACACACACACACACACACACACACACACACACACACACACACACACACACTGGGCTTTTACCATATACGGTGGCCTTATTCTTCAGCCTTTGAAAAGGCCAAATGAAGAGATGGCTAACAACCAAAATAACCCTTCAGACAACTGCAAAGGAGGGGAAAGCTGGAAGGCTTAGTGAATGGCAAGCAATTGCCAGGCTCATCGGGGATGAATGCCCATCGAGGGATGAGTTGCCATAGCACTTGGGAAACACAGGCACACGCATCTGACACAGTCACCCCTCTAGGGAGGGTGTTCTGCCCTCTGGCCTCAGCACTAAGAAAGCAACAGAGGCTGCAATTTAACTTAAAAGAAGGAACCAGTGAGGGAGCATGACTGAAAATTTAATTAAGACCCTCCTCAATATGAAATTGGTAAGAGAGATGAGGACCAGGCTCCAGGGCAGGAAAAGAGGCAGGATGACCTGGAGGAGATGTGAATGAGAGCAGCCCAGGTCAGCCTGGAAGCCAGCAGTCCTGTGTGCGGCAGAGGAGGGGTGACTGCTGCATTACCAGGCCCCTGCTGCAAATGTGTTTGTGGAAAAAGACTGACATGTTCAGGTCATACAGATGCCATACTTGGGTGCCTAGAGTGGAAGTCACTTTTCCTGGGGTTCCATGGTTTCCAAAGCCAAGGAAGAGGTATTCCTGGACCCTGGCTAAAGCACCTACTTTCCTGACCTGAACAGGTTAAGAGAGAGGAAAGCAGGCTAAAGATAGGAGGTGGTGCAGACAAGAGAGATGGAGCAGAGAGGGAGGCTGAGGCACCAAGGTGCACGTCTCTGCCACAGACCCTCTGAGAGAACAGCAGTCACGCCCAAAGTGTGGGCTTGGAGCAGGGCTTCACTAACTCTCCCTGATGGTGGGCTAGCTCTTCCTTCTGCTGATTCATTCTCACTAGGAAGTACCAGGCACAGGAGACAGCCGCTACTCTGTGGCAGAGCACATGTTCGGTATGCATGAGGCCCTGGAGTTTCATCCTAGCACCAAACAAATCTGTCAGGCAGGATCTGCACTCAAGGGACCCCTCCCAGTTATGGAGCAGAATGCATGGGACTGTGGAGAACAGCTCCCCAAATGTCACACTAAAACTGCCCTCATTTCCCCAAAGGCAGCATGCCGACTATGAGATACAGCACCTGGCCACCTCGTCCCAGTGTCTTCCTTTTCAGCCTCAGGTATGGACTCGGCAGGTTGTCTTCTCAAAAGGCCCTGCTTCTGGCTGGCATGGCTAACAGTCTGTCCATGCTTGCCCAGAAAGGCTTTCTGCCCAGGTAGGGCACTAGGCACTGAAGGCTAGCCAGCTACTCCACACCTGCTGGGCTGGCACCCATCAGCCTGGCCTCCATGCGTACCAGGGAGCTAGCTCAGTGGGATTTCTAGACAGGAAAACAAGGCCCTGAGACTGGGCCAGGGAAGGCCACACATAGCAGGGCTGAGACTGAACCATGCCTGGCTGTCCCAAAGCCTGTCCCTTCTTTTTCCCCTGCGCAGTGGAGTCTGGTCAGCAGCTCTACATCAAAGTCAGGCAGTGCCATGGGTTCGTTTCCTCCCAGCAGTGACCCCAGAACAGGACAGTCTCCAGGTCATGCGGCCTCTCTGAAGCCTCAGCGGCAGGAGTTGTGTTGGTGGAAGGGTGAGGTGACCCCACCATCCACTCCACCAGAGGACTGGGGCAGGTCACAAGTTCATTTCCAAATCACTCACCTGGTGAGGCACAAGTCCCAGAGAGGTGGGAGGTTCATTCATGCGGTCATCACTGCTGCTGGCAATGGCATAACCCCTGCAAGAGGGAAGCAGGAGGGCTCTCAGCTCAAGTGTGCTCATGGTAAGTACAGGAGAGAACATCTCCGGGCACTGGGAAGAGACAGAACCAAATGCCCCTTTGCTGAACTTCATAACTAGTGGGAAACTTGTTCCTTGGGAGTGAGGGAAAAGTAGTTATTAAAAAAACGGGCACTGTGGAGTGGGAAAGATGAGAGCTTGTAGTGTCTCTAACTAAGCAGCTTAGCCTTCAGCTGTGAAACAGGAGAGAGGGGGCTGTATGAAACAACAGGGGCTTGTGAGATAAACTGCCAAGTGCAAGGCTTGTTTCCTCTCCCTCCCTCCCTCCCTCCTTTCTTTTCTTCCTCCCTTCCTTCCTTCCCTCCCTCCCTCCTTCTTTCCCTCCCTCCCTCCCTCCTTCCCTCTTTCCTGCTTGTCCCTACTTCTCCCTTTTACATGCTCTCACTAAGCAGTGAAGGCTAGCCTTCCAGGAGCTGGGAGCAGGTTATATATCCCTATACCCTCCTCCCACCTGCTAAACTGATCTAAATGCCATGAACATGGAGGAAGGAGAACTATAAGGAGTGAACTAGGCAGAAGTAATGGGCTCCTCTCCAGAGAGGGGCCATACTCATTTATATCCCAGAAGAACTGCTTTTTCAACCTGTTACCAGGACAAAGGGGGCAGTAAGTTGGGATCAAGGAGGTATAGAGTGGTGGTAGGTATAGGTGGTAGGTGATAGGAGGAAGAAACTTGGATGGCAGAGGAGGCAAAGGCAGGGGAGGACACAACTGTTTATTCCCCTTTTATGCCTTCTCTGCTAGCTTCTGAGACCCTCTGAGTCGTGTGACAAACAGAATACTGCTGTGGCTTTCTGCATTGCCTTTCTTGGAATTCAATTTGGATGAAAAATATGTATTTTCTAAACTCTGTTCTCTCCACCTGCACTACAAATGGCAGACTTAGGACAGCACTCTAAAGCCACAGCCTGGCTGCCACTCACTAGCCATTTGAGTCTTAGACACTAAGCCTAGCTTCCTCATCAGAAACAGGATTAAGAAGACAGGTGAGATGGCATGAACTTGTAATGTTGGCACTAGGCAGACTGAAGACCACCCTGAGGGGCTATATGAGTTCAAGGCAAGCCTGGGATACACAATGAGACTCCGTCCAAAAATAAGAAAAACAAAATCAACTACTAGTTTTCCCCTAGTAGGTTCAATAGGGGATTGAAGAAGTCGACAGTATAATGTTCTCGAGAAAGGGCCTTGCACAAACTTTTGAGAAATGAACTGCTGCTTCTGTAGTCCAGCGTGGGCACCTGTTTTCCCTCAGGCCAAAATCATGAGTTCAGTGGACAATAAGAGCTGTGTGAATGAGAACATATGGAAAGTCTAGACCTGAAATGTAACAATACTGAAAACCTTGGGGGTCCTAACTTTTGCCAGGCACAGAGAAGAATCAACACAGTGTGGTGGATGAGCCAACCAAAAACAATGGGCCGAAGCCAGGGAAGACAAAGAGAACATTAAGGATGCAGGGGGACCAGACAGAGTACAGTTCAGAGTCTTAGAAAGAGTATGGAAGACAAGAGAATGGGAAAGAGTGGTGATGTAGGGGACAGGGCAGAGAATTTACACAGACAGAACTCACTGTGTGGGAGATGCCAGAAGCTGCAGATGGCTGAAACAAAATGAAGTAGAGCAGGGAGAGGCAACCACTCAAAGGAGATAGTAAAAGGGACAAGAAATGATTCACAGGGCCCTGAGAGAAGGAGCTAACCTTGGGGCACCATGGTAGAGTACCTGCCTAGGTTGTGTGAGGCCTAAATTCAATATCCAGGAATGATGGGGTGGGGGAAAAGAAGGAGGAAAAAAAGAAGGAGGGGGAGGAGGAGAAGGAGGAAAAGGAGAGAGAGAGAGAATATACTAGTCTAAAATTCCATCAAAATGAGAAACCTCCTTAATCACAAAGACATTTTCAGACAAACAAAAACTGAATTGCTTGGGAATTCTACAGGCAGAAGAAAAATGCCTTGGAGCCACAAGTTTGGAGACACAGGAAGAACTGAAAAATGTTAGCAAAACTAAATGAATACTAACCATGTAACAATATCTTCTGGGGTTCAAATATGTAAAGAATTTTCAAAAATAAATGTGAAGCCACTGCTGGTTATCTAGCCAACATTTAGTCTCCTCTTCCACCTCTCACAATCTTATTCAGAGAGGCAATAGGTCCAGTTGACAAAGCTACATTTCTTAGCACTCCTTGCTAGGTGAATCAAAGGAAGTGTTTTCTGGAAAGAGTATTTAAGGGGCAGCTCACACTTCTGCATCACCAAGGCAGCTGTCGGCAAAATAGAACCTAAGGAGAAAGTGCCTGGCCCATTCATTGTCCAGGGCTGCCATGACAGTAAAGCACTGACTGCATTCAGGACTAGGAGCACAGGAAACAGTGGTCTCAGGACTATGCAACCAGAAAAGCACCTGGAGGCCCTGGTGGTCTGCAGAGTCAGGAAGCTGTATTCAGAAAATACAAGCTAAGAACTGCAAGCACATGCCGATGTCACCACAGCCAATGGCCCTGTGCTTTGCCTGCTATGTGCTGTCTGGACTGAAAACTGCAACAAGCAAGTAGGATCTATGCTCAGGATCAACAGGGGAGGCACCAGGCCTGCAATACTCCATGAACTCTAGTCAGCCCTGGGAAGACAGGAAGGGTGGGGGCGTGCAGTCATCCTCCCCAGGGTGTCCCTAGGAAACGAATGTGCTGGAGAAGCCAGGCTGGAACTGGGGACAGGCACAGGCTTTGTGGGGAGCACTGCAGTTCTGGACAAGCAGCTGGTGACAAGTCAGGTGCTGAGGTTGAACAGGAGGAGGGACATGCGAACCAATCAAAAATCTGTCTAAAACCAGATTCCAATAGTAACAAATGTCCTATTTGTGACACTTGTCCCTGGCAGCAGGTGAAAGAGACACCAACCTGATGTTACCTGTGACCTTTCATCTGGATTTTGTTCATTCTGTAGTTAAAAGATGCATTGTTGTTTTAAGCTGTAGTCATGGGAACACGCTTCCCGGAAAAGAGTAACAAAGGGGCCCTACTGCTCACTGCTGAGCTATCACTGACTGATGGATGCTGGGAGGGAGGAAGCATAGCATGTAGTCATGCACCCATTGCTGAGGCCAGCAGGCTCCAGTGCATAGCCCCAAGCCCATGGTCACACAGCTGGCACCAGTCAAAACAAAACAAAAAGCCATGTATATGAGAGAGAGATTTATAGTGCAGAAGAGGGAGACAGGCAGTGGTGGGAGGGAAAGTACTCAGCACTATAACCATGTTAAATACACGTATGAAATCATCCAAGAATAGATCTATCAATGAAAAATAAAAAATAGAAAATTGATGGAAGGAGTCCCTTTGTCTCAAGCCCCATCCACAGCCTTTAGTTTGCTATTAAAATAAGTGCTTATTTGCCTATGAGTAGGCACTGTCACACGGATGTGACAATGGAGAGCACAGTAGCACCTTGTGCCCACAGGTGAGGGAGGCTGAGTGGCACACGCTCAGCCTCTTGTCTCACCCTGGACTGTGGACTTGGAACTTTATTTGGCCAAGTCTCTGGATATGGAATTCAGTCACAGGCAGCTGATACAATTCCTAATGCCAGTGACACAATATACGCTATACACATTGTATAAGAAAACCACAACAGACTAACAGAAGAGAGAATGCCTCTGCCAAGTCTTCCTTATCAGATGCCAAAAAAAAAAAAAAACCTCACAAGAATTCAAGAAGGGCTCAGGGCATACCCTAGAGATCACATGCTGAGTATTTGAGTATTTGGGCCAAAGAATTGGACTAGGTTTTTTCTGTTTTGTTTTGGTTTGGTTTTTGTCTTGTTTTAAGGTCAGAAAAGCCAAGAGAGCCTGAGGGAGACCGTGCCCAGCGATTACTGACAAGCACTCAGTTCAAACATTCATCTCTGGGCTCCAGACTCACCCCTCAGGATGCTGCAGGACAGAAACCATCAGCTCCACAGCCAGGGCACCTGCAATCACTGCCAGGCCTGGGCGGCTCACTGTGCACTGCTGGTCCAGCGTCCGGTCTCTGGTTGACTAAAGAGAAACAACCACTGACATGTATAGAATATTCTAGTCCAGGCAGCCCTAGAGGAAACTCCCCATGATAAAGACGAAAATACAACCAGATTGGTATAGCTGACAAAGGTCAGCCAGCCTCACCCCATTGTATCTTGGGAGGGTTATAATTAAAAAAAGAGTAATACACTGAACAGGATGCACACTGTTAAGGGACACAGACGGGGACACTGACCATCAGTGGCATGGCCTCATGGTGGCTCTGCACCCAGTGTCCCTGTGGAGGAATCCATCCCTTCTCTTATACTTAGTAGATGAGAGGTTGAGTCACAGGGAGGAACAATCATGAGTAGCTGGTGACCCTGTCCTGCTATTTTCCCTGAGGTAATGGCTCAGAGCCACCCTGATTGAGGAAGGAGCCACAATCTCTTCCTTGCTGTCCTCTGTTTCTGCACACTGCCTTGCCACCTTGACTAGTCTGAGGACTTAACTGAAAAACTGCAAACATTTGTTATTACCTGACTCCACACACAAGCCGTCACTGGGTCAACCTCACAAATTCTAACCTTCCAAATGGGGCAAATCCTGGGGCTATTTGAGGCTATAAAAATTTCATGGAATGAAAAGACATGACTGTCCTGCTTGAGGCCTCAACGCTGCTTGATGGCAACCCCTGACCATTAGGACAAGCTGCATGCTCTAGCACAAGGAGAAGATGGCAGCTTTTCTCTGTGGGAAAAGGAAAAGCCATGTCTGCCCCTGATACCCCTGAGAAATGCCTGCTTTGGCAGGCTCACCAGGCCTCATAGAGAACCCAGCTGGAGGCACTCCTGGCTGCCTCACATTCCACCTGCTTAGCGCTGAGCATGCTCAGGACAGGTGGGCTGTCTCTTCTAGATTGTCAGATTAAATACATGAGGAATGGTTAAGAGTTCAATTTCAGACAAACAATATTTTTTTTTATTCTTAGCAGCTCTTGAATACTTATATGCTTAAAAAACCAAACCAAACCAAACCAAAAGGGCACTTGGTGTTTACCTGAAATGCAGTTGCCTGACAGTGTGTCGGGCCTGTGCCCTGCCCTGTTCTACAAAGTCACAGGGAATAAGAGGACTTCTGGATCACTGAGGAGACAGCAGAAGGCCTGGACCAGAACCTGGGGCTTTAGTCTCTTGTATATGGGTCTCTTTCTAGAGCTCTTTCTATAAGGGACCAGCTATGCAGAGTTTCCTTACTCAGCTTCTGTCAGATGGCTGCAGCCACATTCATGCAATGACTGTAGCTTGGCCATTCACAGCTCATGGTGGGATAACGCCACCCACCCCAACTAGAGATTGCTCTTTACTAGACAATCTTGAAACAGCCCTGGGAGGGCAGGATCCTGCCCCAGCACATGGGATGCTGAACAGAGCTGTTTGTAACCACGAAACTTGACTTACATCTCCTGGAGCCACCACGTCATTGCAGAAATAACAGCCAAGCTTGTATCCAGGGATGTTAGCAAAAAGGGAGGAGCCCAGGTCAGCAGGTGCCATAAGGTGGCTTGGGCACAGGTCCCCAGCGCCCTGCTGCTTGGGTTTCTTCAGGCCGTGTCTCATGACAACAAAGGTGTCAAACCCCAGGGCAGCATTGATGACCAGCTGTTAGCATTGAAGGAATAAAAGGGGGTCAGGACAAACACACCAGAACAAGGCTGAGTTCATATGCAGCTACCTTAAAATTGCTTTCTTTTTCATGTGAGTGTAGCTAGACTTTAATAGGCAGGTGAAACCTGCAAGAGAATTGATAAACTACTAACAGAAACCATCTCCTTCAAAACCCCTACAAGCATTGCCTTTTATAGACAAGAATACTGAAGGTCAGAGTTCCACCTCTGTTCCAAGGTCATGCAGCTGAGAGGAGAGAGGTGTGGAGAGCAGTTGGTGGGTGCCAGCACCACTCTACCCTGTCCTTTTAGTTCCCTGCAGAATTTTACTGAGACACCACTTGTAAACCATGATTTGCCCACCAAAGGCACTTAAGAGAAGCCTTCTTTGTTTGTATTGTAAGAACTCCTCTTGGTTGTGATTTAAGTTGTTCTCCCAAACTTTTGGTCACATACAAAGTTTGAAAGAATCAAGAAAAGGCATGCTGGAGAAGAAAATAAGAGAACATAAAAAAAACCACTCCTGACACAGCTCTGGGGGGGTTCCAGAAACTGCTGGGGTATTGCCTCTTGTATCTCCTCTCCCCTTCCCCTTTGCCTCATACACAATAGACAGACACTAGACAGATGATAGGTGACAGATGACTGACAGATGAGGGGTGGATTGTGTAGAGGCAGACATGCATGTTTTTATATAGACATGTAACATTAAAGATTCATATACTATTTTATTTTATAATATGTAATAAGTATTTTCTTATTACCATTCTTTGAAAACCTCCCTGAGAGTGACTGCATACTTATTAAAGCAGTCTACGGCACGAGCCTTGACCGCCATATGTACCAACAATAGCACCTGCAATGGTTGCTCAGAGAATAGTAAGTATATCCATGCTGGGTGACGGTGTGAGGTAAAGAAGGGCTGCAAGGCCACAGAGGTCACCCTCCTTCCAGGGGGAGGGTGGGCTATGGTTACAAGGCCACAGAGGTCACCCTCCTTCCTGGGGGAAGGTAGGCTATGGACACGTCTCTCTTGGGTGGCTCACTAAGCTCTGGACAGAGGCAGCAAATAGCACACTCCACCTTCCGCTTGCTGGCCGCAATGACAGCAGGAAGCCACCGGCTCTCTCTGGTGTCCATTAACAGGAAGATGACATCATGGCTCTCAATGAGCTGTTCCAGCTGCTCCACATCTCTGCGTGCCTGCTCCAGCGTGACATCAGAGAAATTCACAGGATGTCCTGGCATCGGGATGCTCATGTTGAACCCGCTGGCATTCTAGAGAGGCAATGGCCATACTTATATCACTTACAACCAGAAATTTCTTTGTGCACAGTGCTACTACTGCTTTTTCCCTCAAATACCTGGGCCTGTGCTCTCCACCTTCTCCATTTCCTTGAGCCGTGTGTGTGTGTGTGTGTGTGTGTGTGTGTGTGTGTGTATCTGTCTGTGTGTATACATGTGTGTCTATCTGTGTGTCCATGTCTGTGTGTGTGTGTGTGTGTGTTTGCTGAGGATGGAGCTCAGAGCCACAAATATAACACAGCAAGGGATGTTCACTTTCCACAGAAAGCAAACTGTGCCAGGATTACAAACTACACCTCAATCTTCTACATCCCAGTGGCCGCAGGCAAGTGGGATAACATTGGCTTTCCCAGAGTTGTCAAAACACTGACTAGAAAGATAATTGCAGGGGGTGGGCAGCAAGTCAGCAAAGGCTCAGGAACTAAGTGGCAGACTCAGGTTTAAGACAACATCTGTACGGCCTGTGGTTGGTTCTCAGTCCTCTCCATGCCAGACTGGACTGTTCTCCCAGGCGGGCATGCCTGTCCAACCTAGGGTACAAGGACAGATCTGTGCCTTCTTCCACAGAACTTTGCAGGTTTCCCACTGGGAAGATGGAGCACACTGCCTAATGCCTCTGAGCCTGGACTTGGCACAGTGACTTGCTTGAGCAATGGGAAGAGAAGGTGGTGTGCTGGTATGAGGCTGACTTGAGACTCTCTAGCCAAAGAACTGCAGGCTAGGAGACTGTGGTTCCCTAGCCTCCATTTTGAAACAATTACATATGAAGCAGACTGGAAGCTGAGTCCAGTCTTGCCTGTCAGCTAACACAGCCAGCCTGCATATCTGTGGTGTAGCCTTACAATTGGATGCCACTGAGAATTGGGGACTGTGAGACAGGCCACACTGTGCCAGCAGAGACCTGACTAATGTCTCAATGGTGAGGCTGTGGCTACTCAACAATAGTTGGGTACACAGTGGATACTCAGTCAATGCTATGGAATTCCACTCAATAAATGATGCTTCTGATGGCACTTGTGAAATAAAACCATCAACAGCAGTAGGCTTTGGTAACAGATCAATATCCAAAGGCTAAAGGAGGAAACTTCTGGAGGGCAGGCTTTCCCATGACTGGGGCTGAGGGTACCACTTCTAGCACTGTAAGTACAAGCAGAAGCCTCAAAGATCACTAACATGTCTCCTGTCAGGTAAAAATGACCATGTATTCTACAGGTAGACTCCTGCTGAAAGATTTTAGACACATCTCCAAACTTACTTGTATTGAAGTGAGTTGAGAGCACTGGCTAGTGTTGGTCAATTAGAACCTCAACTGAGGAACTGCCTCCATCAGGCTAGCCTGTTGGCACTCTCTCGGCTATTTTCTTGATTGATGATTGATATGGGAGGGCCCATTGGCTGTGGGTGCTGCTACTCTAGGCAGGTGGTTCTGGGGTGTATAAAGCTGAGCAAGCCATGGAGAGTGTGATTCCTGCCTCTGCTCCTATTGAGTTCCTGACTTCTCTCAGTAATGGACTGTGATCAGGATGCATGAGTCACATAAATCCTTTCTTTCCCAGATGGTTTTGGTCAGTGTTTTATCACAGCAAAAGAGAGCAAGAGTAGACACAGGCTTGGTGGGTTTGGTGGTGTACTCGGGAGGCAGAGGCAGACAGATCTCTGTGAGTTCGAGGCCAGCCTGGTCTACATAGTGAGTTTCAGAACAGCCAGGGCTACACAGAGAAACCCTGTCTCAAAAAAACAAAACAAAATAAAACAACAAAAAACCCAACACCACCACCACCAATTCCCCCCTCCCAGCTCCCAAAAGAAAGAAAGCCAAGTGGGATGTTGAGTGACTTGTCTTTCATTTGGTATTTCTAAAGTAGTATGGTGTGACTCGATAATAGCAGGGAAAAGAAGTCAACTTTCAGCCAGTCTTTCTTCTACACAGACCCATGGTCAGCACAATTTCATGAGTGTACTAAGCAGCCAGCATGTGGTATGGTGACAGACTAAAACTAATAGCCTACATCTTCACCATCAGAACTCCCTTTACAGACAGGCATGGTGAAAACGGAACTCCAAAAGACACTTCTTCACTCCTCCTTCATTTATTTCTACTGCACGAGAGGCACTTGCTGTGCAGTGCTGGGAAGGGCAGCATGTTGGCTAGGCAAACACTTTACCACTGGGTTACAGCTCAGCTCTGGTTGTATTTTAGTTTTCTTTTGCATGCATGTGCAAGCATGTTGACATGATCATGGAACTACTATGTGTAGTATGATGCATTTGCATGCAGGTGCACAGGCACTACTGCGTGTATGTGGAGGTCAAAAGGCAACCTCAGATGGTTGTCCACACCTTCCACCTTGTTTGAGCAGGGTCTTTGGTTGTAGTTTGCTGTTGCACCTGTAAGATTAGCTGGCTGGCCAGCTTCTGGGGACTCTCCTGTCTCTGCCTCCTTCTTACCATGGGAGCACCAGGATTGCACATGCATACTTCCATGCCTGGCTTTATAAGTTTTTTGAGGATTCAAATGCAAGTCTTCAAGCTTACACAGCAAGCACAGTATCCAATGACCCCTCTCCTCAATATTTTTGTAGTGTTTTTAAAAGGCTATCACCGGGGGGAGGCGGCAGGCTTGGTCATATGATGCCTGTCTGGGAGGAAATAACATGTCTGATCCTCAGTCACCAATACTACAGAGCCTTATGCCCCAGGATCCCCAGAATTTAAACATTTACAGAGTTTACAGGAGAAAAAAAAATAGATGTTCCCCCCAAATCATCAACATACCACTCCGGGAAATATTTTCTGGAGCCGTTCTGCTGCAGCCAGGGCTTTGGGCTTGCCACCAGCCAGACAATCTTCAAATTCATACAGAGGTTGTCTCACAGGGTTGGAGTAGGAGATCTTGGCATTATCCACAAATGTGACATGTCTGACGCCCCAGCCCTGCATGGAAACAGGATACCACGGTATACTCCTGATGAGCATGTCCCAGCACACATTTCTAGAAGTCTCTAAGAAGCACTTTGCTTCTGAGAAGCTGGGAACCTGGAAATATAGGAAACTACAGAAACTGAATTGTACAAATTCTGTTTTTGATCATTAGAATGGCAACTTCTTTTTAAAAGACAAGATAATGATATGCCAGGGCCTAGATTCCCAATCATTAGACCAGGAAGTATCAGTAATTCTTTCACAGAGTATGTTATTCTTGACAGTGCCACCAGGGGAAGATGGCAGGTGAATGCTAGAAGAACTGTACTGTGTTGTTTCAAGGTTAGCAAGCACTCCAAGAAGTCTTTGGCTTCTCTTAATGAGTAACTAAGTATAAACATCAGCTCCTCCTGAAATGCATTTTGGATCTGAGTTAACTCCAGAGAAATGTCCATCAAGTCGTCCCCATATGAAACAATGAAGAACACTCTCAGAGTATTTCTCCACACCGGAGAAACCTTGCTTCTAATCCAGCCTTACAAGATGAATCTGTGTTTTAATGTCATGATGTCAGGGACATTTTCACAGATGAGAACATTTCTGGAAAGCTTTTTATTTAAAGATTTTTTTTTATTTTATGCATAGTGTTTTGTCTCAACATGTCTAAGAACATACATATAATGCCAGAGGAGTCCAGAAGAGGGTATTGGGTCTCCTGGAGCTGGAGTTACATGCTGTTGTGAGCTGCATGTGGCTGCTGGGAATTGAACACAAGTTTTCTCCAAGATTAGGCAGTGGTCCTAACCTCTGAACCATCTCTCCAACCCCTATATTTCTTCACCGTTTTATGGAACCACATAGTTTTAAAGTTGGACTAATAAGTTACAAAGGAAACTTTTTTTTGGCTTCTATTTCCTTCAGTGAGGACCACTCCTGGCATCAGTGGGAACATCCTCATGTATGAAATCTCACTACTTGTGAGAAGGGAACTGGGCTGGGACTAGAGGAGCTTCTGTCTCAAAGACTACAGATTGCCCTTAGAAGTACAGAGATGCTGAGGAGAGGAAAAAAGAATTGGAGGGAGGCACAAGGGTGTCTAGGAGATGAAAGGCAATAGTGCTAGAAAAAGAGACACAGCTGCACCGCTGCCACAGGCCCCCACACTCACCATCAGTGTCCTAGCCACATTACATCCCAGGGTGCCAGCTCCCAGCAGCAGGCACTTGACAGACACAACCTTGTCCAAGTCCAAGGTAGGGACCAATCGCCAACACATCAGCTTGAGATTCAGATCCACGGATGACTCAGCCAGCCTGGAAAAACGAGAGATCGATGTGCTGATGAATCATTTGAATGAAAAAAAGAAATAAAAAGGAAAGGACATGACAGCTCCTAGACATGGTGGAAGAGAAAGTTTATTGCAGATAAAAGAAAGCATAGCCAGAGGCAGGGACACCTGGGATACTTCAGAATGGACGTGAGCAGACTGTGCTGGGCCGTGGGGGGGGGGGGGGAGGGGAGGGGGCGAAGGAG